AGGCTAGACGGTTACTTGTCTGAGATGGTATAAGTTCTCCTGCTTGAGTAGGGGGCTGGACTAGAAGACCTCCAAAGTCCCTTCCAGCTCTATTCAAGTCCATTTAAACCAACTAATTTAAGTATGCCTATTTCCAGTCTGCACAATAGACTTTCTATGACAAAGCATAGATTCCTGCTGTAGCCATACAAATATGTTTTGCAACAAAGAGAGCCAAAAACATGATAAATGAAATTTGGGACAAGAGATCATAAAAGACTTTCAAAGACCATGCATCACAGGCCATTTCTTTAATTTTCAAATACACTGTATACTTATAAAGGGAAAATGTTGTATTGGAATCAGTGGGATTTTTTTCCTTAGTAAAACCACATTCAGTTAACTAGGCATTCTTGAAATCCAAACAGTGCTTTTTTTCTTTAAAAAAAAAAAAGGTGCCAGAACTCACACACGTCATACAACCCGCCTTGCCTACCCTACAAGGTTCCATCCAAAAAAGGTGCCGGAACTCCGTTCTGGGCGTTCTATGAGAAAAAAAGCCCTGACAACAAGCATCTATGACTCTCCTAGCATAATCAGAGATAATGACTAAACTTAAGGTCCAAGATGCCAACAAAGCACTAGGTGAGAGAAAGCTGAAAAAGACTTACTGTAACCCAAACTTTAGATAAGCGGTTCACTTAATGGCTTATGCAATCAACCTGCTTTGGTGATAAGAGACAATCACATCCTAGTTCCAAAATACATCTGCTCCTGGGCGCCTTAGATTCTTAAAAAGACACAGAGCAGAAGCAACAGTATCTTTGGTTTTCCCGAGCATATTATCAATAAATTGCCTTTCATCACTTGCACCCCAAATTTGTCTTGGCAACTGTTTTTTTCTGCTATATCCTGAGGACTACATGTGATCCCCAACCCATATCTGAGGCACCTTTAGCTGTGCATAACTCCTTTCTGCCTTATTCTAAAATCATCTAGGGCAGGGGTGTCAAACTCGCAATGTTACGTGACGTGTTGTGACATATCGTGACTTTTTTTACAGGCAATGGGATGGGCATGGTTTTGCTATGGTGCATCCAGCCCGTGGGGTGGCAGTTTGACACCCCTGATCTAGGACATATAAAATCCATTAAGCTTTGTCATCCATTACCTTGGAGGGGAATTGTGTGTAAGTGATTGGGAACAGAGAGAATAGAGACCTGATCAGAATCAACAGTGGGAGATAGTCAATTCCATACCAAAGCAATTTTCTGTCTATTCCAAAGATGAGTGGAGAGGCACTTGAACATCTATGGATGGGGAAAATGATTCTGGCAAGAAAAGAATAGGATGAAATGGGCCTGCTCTTGCAGAAGGTCACAAACATTGTGGCATACAAAATTTACCAGCAGGGCCTGTTTGGAACTTCTTTCCACATGGTGCAAGCTTCAAAAAGGAACCCCTTGATAGTACCAGCAACTTTCTAGAGGCTTTGCAGCTCCTGCTCGGCTATTCTCCAGGAAAAGCTAATAGCTGGAGAGGGGGTTACTTTGCAAGCCCATCATCTTGCAGTGAGCAAGTGAGCTAGCCAAGCAAGCAAAATGGAAATGATTCTTAGCAATATAAATAGGGCAGATATATAGATCCAAGTTAAATCTGATTTCAGTGAAATCACAAATGTTATGGCACTGAGAAGCTGGTATTTATTTTGTTCTCCTTTCTTATATCTGTTTTGCTTGATTCAGCTATATAATCTGGGACGGATATTTAGGTCAGAGTTTTTGAAGTGACCATTCTTTTGTTCATTTCAATTATTGTTACTGACCAAATTTGTAGACTGCCCTGTGCTCTTCCACTAAATATCAACTCAGCTTCATCAAGTTCCATATGTCCATCTTTGATCTCTTCATCATCTCGGAGTTTATTATTTTAAAATCTGGAGCTCAATCTGCTTTGTGAACACATTTCTTTGGTCAGACAAGTGTGGATTCTTCTACAATTCTACAATCACTGGTGAAAAATCTGAGAAAGGAACTCTGCACATGTACTATTTGCTTAATAATAACAACCTGTTCTGGGATTGAGCTTTAGCACAAAAACACTTCCCGGTGAGCTTCAGTCTTATTTTCTTTCCCTTCCAAGCTGTTAAGTTCTCAGTTATTTCAACTAAAGGCTTGCTGTGTACTGGGTGCCTGTGGAGAAGGCCTGACATCTCATTCATGAATATTGGAAACGGCTTTCATTCATGTCCTTGCAGCCTCACATGCTGAGATCCATAACTTCAATTTAGCTATGAAACGTGCTCCTCCACATGTGGATAAGAATAGCTCCACGTCAGTCCATCTCAGTGAAGCTGCCCAGATTTTTGTCTCACTGCGGGAGGAGGCATGGAAACTGCATGGTTGCAGTTCAACAGACCTTAGCAGTCACACATTTCTGTGGAAAGACAACCACATGCTTAGCCAGCTGGGGGAGCACCCAGTTGTACAAGCGAGTCAGCTGTCCCTGACTGGGTTTTTGTCATTATCTTTAAGTATTTGTGAGAACTGAACAGAAAGCTGCTGCTTTCAAGATCTTGCCTCTGCCTTCTCTTTTAGGGGAAAAGGAGGCAGTGATATTTATCAGCAATCATTTTGTGCAGGAGACATTAATTTCAATAATAATAATAATAATAATAATAATAATAATAATAATAATAATCCTTCAAGCTGACAACATCAAGCACACTGAAGTCAAGAAAAAGATTAGAGGTGAATACATCAAGAGAGTGAAGATCTTAAAGTCCAAACTCAATGGAGGAAATACCATAAAGGCAATCAACACCTGGGCAATTCCAGTCATTAGATGCACAGCTGGAATAGTGGACTGGACTCAAGCAGAACTAAAAGCAATGGATAGACAGACCAGAAAAATAATGACAATGAATCACGCCCTTCATCCACGCAGTGACATTGACAGACTTTATCTACCAAGACAAATAGATGGGCGTGGAATTCTACATCAGATGGTTGAAGAAGAAAAAATGGCTTTGGAAGAATATCTGAAGAACAATGATGAAGATGCACTGAAATTAGTATATCAGGAAGGCTTACTAACTACTGGAGAGACCAAACTGGCCTACAAGAAAGACCCAATGAAGAACAGAATAGAGGCATGGGAAGACAAAGCACTACATGGCCAATACATTAAAAAAATAGCTGGGAAAGCAGATAATAACAAGACATGGCAATGGCTAAGAGCAGGAAAATTGAAGAAAGAGACCGAGGGACTAATTCTGGCTGCACAAGACCAAGCCTTAAGGACAAATGCATACAAAGTCAAAATTGAGAAGACAGCAACAGACAGTAAGTGCCGCCTATGCAAAGAAGCTGAAGAAACAGTGGACCACTTGGTAAGCTGTTGCAAGAAAATTGCACAGACTGATTACAAGCAGCGGCATGATAAAGTAGCAACAATGGTGCATTGGAAGATCTGCAAAAAATATCATTTGCCTGTAAGCAAAAACTGGTGGGATCATAAAATAGAGAAAGTCATAGAAAATGATAAAATTAAACTGCTCTGGGACTTCAGAATTCAAACAGACAAGCACTGCAACATAACACCCCAGACTTAACAATTGTCGATAAGAAAGACAAAAAAGTCTGGATAGTGGACGTGGCAGTGCCTGGAGACAGCAGAATAACAAAATACAAAAAGACCTACAAATAGAAATAGAAAGACTGTGGCAAAAGTAAGCAAGGGTAGTACCAATAGTCATAGGCGCCTTGGGTGCAATCCAAAAACAACTGGAGCACCACTTGAACACCACTGGCATTGACAAATTCGCTATTAGTCAATTGCAAAAGGCGGCCTTACTAGGAACTGCTTCCATCCTGCAACGATACCTGTAATACCATCAAACATCCACATCTGCCTATCCCAGGTCCTGGGTAAGGACTCGATAGATAGACAAAATGCCAAATCCAGTCTGAACATCTGGCTGACTGTGTGATGATCCATAATTATTATTCATATAAATCAGAATGGAAGCCCACGCCTGCCTTCTTGAAAGGAATTCAATTCCATTTAGTGGAGTTATTTTTGAGCTGACTTATGGGGGGGGGGTTTCCTGCTGTAGGATTCATTTCGTATGAATGATGTCTGCACTAGAGGATGGAATTATACACTGTTACAGGAAAGTGAGAAGAAAGCAACAAACTACAGCCGTTAACCCACAGATTGTCAAAGCTTCTTTCCTTGAAACATCCTACAAACAGAACATTTTAAATATTAATGGAAACGTAAGGGGGCGGGAGGGGGGAAAGTTTTCCAATTTGGAACCATTCCATTAAAAAACAGCAAGGTCGAAGTCTTCACAGTTGTATTTAAAACTGATGTGTCGGGAGGGTGAAAAGGCCTGACAGTTTCTGAAATCCCTCGGCTTTCCCCCCCTCTAACAAACTTATGCACAGACAGAACAACTCATAGCCTCAAACATAAACGCGCGTGCGGTAGTTACAAATCGCATACGCGCGCACGCGCGCACCTATCCCTAGCATCTCTACCGATATCCTTTTTACCCGCATTCAAAATATTTCCTCTCTTGCCCCCTCCCCCCGGTACAATTCCATTTTCTGCTCAGCAGCATCTAATCGCCGAGCCTGATCGTCTTAATGGAGCAACGCCGAGAGCTATTTGTGAGCCATTAGCCAAATACTCTTTCACGGCGGTGCAATCCCTGCTTCGGCTTTATGAGAAGAAGGGTGAGGGGGAGAACAACGATCGATGCCCGCCCCTCCCCTTTTGACGCCTTCATTCATTCTGCCGCACGAATTCCAGCACACACCGCCTCAAGGCAGAAGAGAAGACGCTGCCTGTTTCGCCGTCGCTGCTTTGTAGCTCTTCCCCTCCCTCGGCTCGTGCGCCCTTCCCTCCCCTCGCCGCCCTCATTTGTTCAGTGCTCAGCTGAACAAATGAGGGCGGGTTACGCAGCCGCCGTCGCCGGCAGGAGCAGTTAGTTAGTAAGCAGGGCTTAACGCCCGTCCCCGGAAAATTCGCGGCAACTCAGGTTGGGTATTTCGGGAGCGGAGGGACGGGCAGAAGTCCGCAAGAAACACCTGGACGCGGGAAGCAAAGGGTGCGCGCGCGTGTGTGTGTTTGCGCGCGCGCGCGCGCTTGCGACCAATGTTGACACGCCGAAGTAAAATCGAGAAAGAAGGAGACGAGCTTGCAGAGGGCAGGGAAGAGGTAGATCGCTAGCAAAATAACAGGAAATGGAGCGAAAAAGCCGAGCCTTGGCCAGCAAGATGCAGAGCTCAATGCTGAGTTTCTCTATTCGGCGGAGCGCCCTGCACGGCTTTGGATGTACCGCGTGAAGGGGTTAATGCCTCGTAGCCAGCTTTGGTACCTTCTCGGGATGTGGGAATTAGTGGCTTAAGAGTTCTCGCCGCCTTTATTGATAAAGGGAGATTGCGGTATGAGGCATAATAAGTAGCGCCAAAAAGTTCCTTCGAGGGTGAGGAAGGTGAGATTACTGGAGCATGGCAAACCCCGCCGGCTTAGACTTTGCTGCAGTGGAAGGCTTCCTAGACAGACACCCGGAGCTGGTGGAGAAGTGGCTTACGAGGAGAACCGCCCTCCTTAGCAAAGGAGCGCCTGACTTTAGCGACGGTGGGGCGGAAAGGCAGCTAAGTGGACATCACAACGGCCTCTCGCCTCGGAGCGGCCCCTCGTCCACAGCCCCCCCTAGCCTGGAGCCGACGGCCGGCGGGCTGCAGCACCGAGCGTCCCAGAAAGAGCTGAGGAAAAGTTTCGCGCGCTCCAAGGCGATCCACGTGAACCTGACTTACGACGAGCACCTCCACGCCAGGACTCAGGAGCCGCTGAGCAGCGCCAGGAGAAGGGCGCTGCTGAGAAAAGCCAGCTCCCTGCCGCCCACCACGGCTCACCTGCTCAGCGCTCTACTCGAGTCCCGGGTCAACCTGCCCCAGTATCCGCCCACCGCCCTGGACTACAAGCGCTACCTGAAGCAGCACAACGAGCGGCAGTTCTTTCTGGAGCTCGTCAAGGACATTTCCAACGACTTGGACCTCAGCGCGCTCAGTTACAAGATACTCATCTTCGTCTGCCTTATGGTGGACGCCGAGAGGGGCTCCCTTTTCCTGGTGGAAGGCGGCGGGGGGAAGAAGAGCTTGGTCTCCAGGGTCTTCGACGTGCACGGGGGCGCCCCGGTACTGCCTTGCTACAGCACGGAGAACTCCAACGAGATGCAGCAGCTCTGGGGCAAAGGCGTCGTCGGTTATGTGGCCGAGCGCGGCGAGACCGTCAACATGCCCGATGCTTACCAGGTACGGCTGCCGTTCAGCAGACCTTTCGGCGATTCGCCGCACGCGGTCTTAACGATAGCAGAATAACTTTATAAAACTTAAGGCCTCCAGTTAGACGGTTACAAAAAAAGCAAACAAACCAACAAAACCGAAACAAAATCCTGCTGAAATTCATTCTGTACCTATCCAGAACGGCATCGTGGGAAGAAATCTGTTTAGGTGAAAGCATAATGTCTTGCAGAAATTGAGGAAGTCTCCCCCTGGTGCCGGTTATCTGGGAACGGTTCTCCATATTTTATGGCGAGTTGGGGAGGGGGAGAAATTTCATATTTATGTTTAAATATGCGTTCATGTATAAATACAACTTGCTGTCAGAGAAGGGTGTTTGCAATCAAGAGTACCAAAAAGAGGGTCCCTGGCCCCTTTGTGTGTGTATTTGTATGTCTGTATGAAATTACAAGGGGTGTGTTGTGTTTGTCATCAGACTAGCCAAAAGAAGGTCCTTGCTCCTCTGTGTGTGTGTGTGTGTGTGAGAGAGAGAGAGACTATCCAGGGGTTCTGTTGTGTTTGCCATCAGAGTATCCAAAAGAGAGGGAGTGGTTCCCTTTGTATGTGTGTGATTAAAGGATTCAGATGAATGAGATATAGCTGGCAGCAGTTGTGTAATGATTTATGGTCAAAGAATCCTGTAGATTAAACTAAAGTCTCAGATAAGTCATGCTTATTTTTTCCTCAATGGCCGATTAGAGGTGGAAGCAAAACACAAGTAATCCATTTTATTCTTAAAACAATTAGTATTGAGAAGTTTATTCTTGTTTTGTTTGCTAAACTTAATAGATTTCTTGATTAGTAATCATTAGTCTTATAATCCCTCAAAGAAGTAAAAGTTGGATCTCTAGGTATAGTAATCTTGGACCAATGAAGGTGCCTATCAGTGTATCCAAAGCAAACCACAACGATGCCAAAATGACAATATGCATGTAATAACCATTATGCAAAAATAAAAGGCTCAGTTTGCCCTTCTGATTGCATTTATTTGTATTTAATTCTAGCTGTAGGGATGGGATAGTTTGGCCAGTACATGGCATGTAAAGAGCACATCATGGATTTATATAAAAGCATTTTGGTTTTTATTTTTTAATATCGCTAGGTATCATTCCAGAAATAATTTGGAAAAGATGCATTGGAAAATAGGGGAATGTAAACATAGAACTCTTGTCTATAGGCATCTAGAAGAAGCAAGGGACAAAACATCAATTGCAACTTAAGCTCTACTGTTACATGCAGCATCAGGATGCAAATAGGAAAGGTTGGAGTTCATGCCTTGATGTCACAAAGCAAAGGTAGTGTTCCCACATCAACATGATCAGCAGCATCAGGAGCAGATATCTGTGTCTTTGAGATTAACTTTTTAAAACAGCCATCTCTATTCCCAGGATCACATGCTGCTCTCTGCAGCTAACATATCCCAAGAAAAGATTTGACTGCTTTAAAGAGGTGCAGATAAATTCACATATCCCTTTTGAAACTGAATCCAAAACATTGCACAGAACTACTTTTTAATCCTTGGTTTAATGTTCCTTAACATGGTATTTGCTTTTTTAAAATGCTTTGTATATTATGTAGATGTTTTCATTGACCCTGTGAATTCTTATCAACCTCCTGGTTATTTGTACAGACAAATCCACTTGTAGAAAAAAAGAGGTTTATTTTATGTGGTTGACACAGGGACCGATTAATAAAGACATTATTAGGTGGAAGTGCCTAGATTAGTATATAGGACAGTGCTAGTAAAATATGAAAAGCTGGCTCAGTTGATCCTCCTTAGCAGGAAGAAAGACAGTCTTGTAAAGGGATATTATTATACCATACCTCTAGAATTATAATTGGCAATAAATTAAATCTGATCAATGAAAACACTTTTTTATGTAGAACAGACAAGATAGTTGGCTAGAATAAGTGGCTTTCATGTAGATTACCCTTATAGTAAAGGGACTGGAGGGGCTGTATCTTGATTTTTCTGTAAATCACCATCCAGAACATATTGTTTTACTTTTGGATTCTTATTGTTTAGTAATCTATATAAAGTCATTTTCACTCCCAAATATAGTTTGTTTTCCTAAATGCAGATAGTATGTACTATTAAGTCATTTCCAACTCTTAGCAATCACGCAGCTACATTTTCTCCATATGATCTATTCTTTGCCTGTTCTTTCAGGTCTTCCAATGGTGCACTTATCACCATTGTAACTGAATCCATCCACCTTGCTGCTGGTAACCTTCTTCTCTTTCCTTCTATTTCCCCCAGTATTCTTCACCAGAGAGCTAGATCTTGGCACACTGTGTCCAAAGCAGAATGATTTGAGCCTAGTCATTTAGTCCTCGAGTAAGAACTCTGGGTTCATTTGTTCAATGGTGTATTTATTTTCTTGGTTGTACTTGTAAATTTAGAGTTATTAGTTAGAAGGCTGACTAGTCTGTGAAATTACTTGTATAGAGCTAGCTATTCCTATTCTGCTTACAATTTTAATAGATAAAATTGTGCGAAGCAATATGAAACTTGAATACATTTATTTACTGACTGATAGTCTCACTGTGAATGTAGGCGCTCCTGCTTTAAGAGACAGAAAGGAACAGATGGATTACAAAATACTTGCATTAAGATCTGGGGCAAGTTACAATATTTATTATCTGTTCTGCCGTATGTTCATTTTTTATAAGGTCAATTGTTAGGACTTGGCTTTTCATCTAATAGAATAAGGTCATTGATTTAACCCAACTCTATAGCACACTCTGTGTGTTATTCTTGTTTTGGAACTATATCAAGACTCATTTGTCTCTAATTATTCACCTGCTTCTACACAAAGAGCTGTGGTCTTAGATCTTAGTCAGAGATTCACTGTGGAAGGAAACTTTTGTATATGATAATTTATCAAAACTGCTTTCTTCTCCTGAAAGCTGAGTGCTTGATCAATTTTACAGCTTTTTTCTCCTTGCTAAAAGTAAACCTGTGGATTTACTTCTGTCCCTATTGTTTTCAACAAGTAGCATTATGTTTATTAAAAAGTGTTTGGTTTGATTAAAGAGGACAAATGCTGCTAGGTCAAGCAAATATGAGCTTTCTTATCATAAAGAGTATGGAATTACTCTACATCAGGGAAAGGAATTTTGCTCAAAAATTTTCTGTTCCACTAAAAATAGCTGGGTTCCAATAATAACATGTTGATTACAATGGCAAAAGAAAGACCAAATTTGGATCTTCATTGTGGACATTGTTTCCATCTAAACATCAGCGTACTCACTTCTTATATGTCACACTCCATCTCTGTTGTGATTAGTGTATTACTTCCTTGCAGGTAACCAGATAGTACCTGGATTGCAAAAATCTAACCCAGCTTAGTGTCCTTTCAGTGCATTGTTGTTGCCCAGCGCATATGGAGGACTGAGTTATTAGCAGTGCTTTAAAAAAAAAAAAAAAGGGTGCCGGAACTCACACACGTCATACAACCTACCTTGCCTACCCTACAAGGTTCCATCCAAAAAAGGTGCCGGAACTCTGTTCTGGGCGTTCTATGAGAAAAAAAAGCCCTGGTTATTAGTAAGTAAATTTCTACCATGGGGCACTTATAGATACTGACACAATTGAGTACAATAGCTAAAAGACAGAAAATAATTAAACTTAATAGGCAAATACCAAAATACTTTATTGAGATGACAGAAGTCTAATGCTAATGTATAGGATTGGTATACCTAGTCCAGTGATAATAGTGAAAAGGAACAGGTATGATCAGGAAATAGAAACCAAGTTTCAGTTTTTACAAGAGAAATTCAGCAATTTAGGAATATTTTGTTTTGAAAAGAAAAAAGTAGAAAAAGAAATTACCATAGGCATCTGTTCCTAAACACTGTTAAGTCAAACGGGTAAAACGTCTTATGAAATCGTCCCACAAGTTTCACCCTTATGCATATAGGGTAGCTATCAATCCTCAACATGCAGAGTTTCCATTGTGATACGTATTTTGTCACTTGCCCCTTATCTTCTGTAGTCACTTATGGACATGACATCATAGAAAATAAAGATTATTATCTATTGCTTCAGAATATAGGAAATAAAATAATAGATTTAAGTTACAGGGAAGTAGATTTTTTTAATGTTGGGGGAGATAATATCCAAATATTTGGAGCAGTTAATAAGGAAAGAGCAGGAAATAAAACAATTATCTTGGAGAGATAGTAGGTTCCATTTTACTGAATGTAGTCAGATGGAACTAGTCAATTTTGTCACATGGATGCCTTCTTTTAAATTTCTGCACTTTGATAGACAGTTGGTTTTAATGGACCCTTTCAAACTGTTACATTCCACAAATTTAATTTTAACTCCCATTTTTCCTACTATTAGTTCTGTAGAGCTACCAGCAAAGAGTTCGTTTTTTGTACCTCTTTGCTGCCGTTGCCACCCACAGATTTGCAGTCGAAAATGATAGGGTTTTTTCCCCAGAAAAGAAATTAAGTTAAATGACAGAATAGTTGTGTAGTGAGGCATCTTTAGCACCTACAAGAATAAGAATTAACCCTTTACCTTATAGGTAATTTCTAACCAGCTCACACTTACTCTCAATACACTAAGAGATAAATGAAATATTAAAAGAATCACAGATTTGAAGAAGTCTCAGAATTTCAGAGTGGTCAATGAAGGAAACCAGGTACTTTTTGTTTTGTTTTTATTGGGTGTTTGTTTGAATATTGTTATGAATCTAACCCTATGTTGTTACTTTGAAGGAATTTTATAGAATTTGACACTCTTTCCTCTCCTATTTAACATCTACTGCTAGGAAAGTTCATCCAGGGACTTGGGTTTAGGTATCATCAATATGATACATCCAGTGGTGGGATTCAAATATGTGAACAACCGGTTCTCTGTGTGGATGCCACTTCCGGAAGTCCATTCTGGGCCTGGGCAACAAAAAATTAGCTACCGGTTCTGCTGAACTGAACTGGTGTGAACTGGCTGAATCCCACCA